TTAACAGACAGCCTTTGACTTCCATTGACAAACTCAGAGTTTTTGATCAATTCAATCATCTTCGGAAAAGGCACAAATAGACAAGATACTCGAAGATGCAAAGACCATAGCAGAATGGAAACCCCATGGAATTTTTTATACACGTAGCTATCTTTTCTTTGTATCAGAATTTTCTACGACATCATTCTCTTACTAGAATGTTTGTCCCCTTTGTACAAAATGTTTATTCAAAGTAAATACAAATATATCCCTTTGAAAGTGCAAAAAACTATTTGTCTTTTTCTTTACGTTTATGTTTTGTTTACAAAAACGTCCAATGATTCATTGTTGAACATATGCATTTGAACATGATCACTGTTTATAAATAAACAAAATGAGGAAGACAATTACTGAAATGTTTAAAGAATAGGAAAATGTCTCTAGGCTATTCCATAAGTGATCCCTTACAGTACATCATTTAAATCCCCAGCAGAACGAAGCTCCCAGTTTACCAATCCCCGGTAGGAATCACCCAATTTCTCCAGATTCCCCTAGCAGATTGTGCAAGCAGTACATGGCATTTCTCTTACAACAGAGTTTATTTCTCTAAACGGAAATTCATCAACACTTCAACTTCAAGACATAAAAATTCACATATCCTCAGTGGAATTCAGGGATTTATTTTCCTCAATCGAACAACAATGCAGCAAATTAGTTCACATGAGCATACATTGCATCCATATATCATAAACATTAATAAAGCAAATACATTGCATCATACATTTCATGCAGACATAACTTTATATTTTAGCTAACATTTTACCCTTTTCAGGATAAGATTAACAACTACCATTAACAATATGCAACCTTGATACAGTTCAGATACGCTCCAGACACGGATGCCATTCTGATACTCATTCAGATACAACTTACATATATAGTTCAGATACGCTCCAGACACGGGTGCCATTCCAATACTCATTCAAATACAACTTATAGATATAGTTCAGATACGCTCTAGACACGGATGCCATTCTGATACTCATTCAGATTCAACTTTCAGATACAGTTCGGATACGCTCCAGACACGGATGCCATTCTGATACTCATTCAGATACAACTTTCAAATACAGTTCAGATACGCTCCAGACACGGATGTTATTCTGATACTCATTCAGATACAACTTTCATATACAGTTCAGATATGATCTAGACACGGAAGCCATTCTGATACTCATTCGGATTCGGTTTTCAGATACAGTTTAGATACGCTCTAGACACAGATGCCATTTTGATACTTAGACAAAATCAGCTCCCAGATACAATTTAGGTACGCTCCAAACATGGACGCCATTCTGATACTCATCCTTTCGGCTTACAAATTAAAAATCAACAAGTATTCTTGGATGGCATCCATAATCCCATCTCCCAACAAGACTCTATCACCTCTCCAAATGGCATCTTTAAGCCCATTCCTTCAACTACACATCATCGAGTGCAAATTTCTGGGCACTCTAGTGTCCAATCATCTTTCACCTTCGAGTCACGAATGGCAAAACTCACCAATCAAAGTCTTCAGGTTTAAGAAGATTGAACAGGGGCAGCTATTGTACCCCAAAATTTTCCCTCTCATTTATCAAGACTTTTCTCACAAGATCTCTTTGACTCAAGACTGGATTAGGGTTTGATCAGCTCAAGACATCTCATCATGCATTGATAACCCAAAATTAGGGTTTGGGAGTGCACAGAGATTTTTGGACTATCAATGCTTCATATGAATTTCAAGTATCATTATAGACCCCTAAGATTACTCATGTCAAGTTTCAAGCTTTGAATCACATTTTTTATCAGTCAATTGGACAGTTGAACTAAAAATCAATTGCATTGGGGAAAAAGTCAACCATGGCCAATTTACAGTCAAACTTCATAATTTTTTATCCACATCAACATTTTAGACTCATATGAATCATTTGACCAAGTTTGGACCATAATTCCTCAAGAAATTTGATCAAATCATCAAAAGGGCAAAATGGTCAAAATTAGGGTTTTGACTGGGAAAAGGCAATTTCTAATTTTTACCTAACAAATGATCAATTGAATTAAAGCATGATTTCAAGAGTACAATTGCATCATCTTTACCTAAATCCATGGTTCAAAACATTGCAGATCCATTGGATTGACAGATGAATTTTTCAGTCAACTGATCAAAAGTCAACTGTATATTGAAAAGTCAAACTTTGACTTTTTGGTCAAATTCAAGTGCCAAGGATCACAACTTATCAAAATATGTCAAAATCTGAAACTTGTTCATCAAGAAATCAAAGATTGAAGATTTTGTTTTGAAATTTGAAATTTTTCTTAACTTAGAAATCTTTCTAAGTATAGAAAATTTCTTATTTTTTCTCAACTTTAAGCCAAATTCTCACCATGATACATGATGATTCAAAGGAAGTTCTCAACATGAAAGTTGTAGATCTCCATGAAATCTACAACTTTGCTTCACACATTTTTTCCTAAAGATGCTTGGATCTCAAGATATAATTTTGTGAATACATGCCCATGAACTAAAATAACTTAGTGAAAATATTCCCTAATTTTAGGAGGTTTTTGACCTAACTTCATGGCAACTTTTCACCTAGTTCTAAGAGTAATCTTGAAAAGAAATTCAAAGATGAGTTATAGATCACATTTAAAGCTTTCCAAAATGTCCAAGAACTCCTTCAGATCATTTTTGAGTAGGGAGAATCAAAGAGATGAAGTTGGTAATTTCTCAATTTGATTTCAAGCCATTTCATGATGAACCAAAATTCAAATCTAAACCTAGGCTGCATAATCCTTTCTTTACAGGTCTCGAACTTGTTTCTCACTCCATAATTTAATTCTTACATAGTTAATAAAGCTTTAATCCAAACATGAGAGCCTTTGTCCAAGCTTTAATTCCATAAATGGCACAAAGTTGCCATTTCCATTTTAGAAAAGTATAACTTTTGCATTTGTCAACTCCTTGAGCTTTGCACTTGTTCCTTCTGCACACACAAGTCCTATAAACCAAAAGCAAAGTTCCTAAGACTTGTACCAACTCAGATCAGGCTTGTACAAGCATATAGAGAGTTGTCTCCTCACTTTTCTTAAAGGGCAAGCAATAAAGCAAAAAGTCTATAACTCAGAAGCCTGGTGTGGAATTGATTTGAAACCTTTTCTATACTTATACACAAACATATTACAACCTAACACACAATTTAAAAAGCTCAGAAAGTCTCTCAAACTCTCTATCACAAAAAACCTGCCATAACTTGCAGTTTTGCATCAAGCATAGCAATCCCAAAATCTACTCGTGTGTTTCAAGTTCTAATCACCTAAACACTTAACCTATATCATATCTAAGTGTCCCAGACCATCATCCATTCACTGTAACTCCTCCTTATCCATCTTCCATTTTTGCATTTCAAGCTTGCATGTTGACTTGGGTAGGGAGACTCAGGCACTTTCAAGGCAAGGTAAAGATTGGAACACACTCAGGGAGGTCCAGGTGAAACAACCGGCTGAAAATCATCAAACAATGAAGTCGCCATCGAACGTATTTTATCCCACATGTAGGGAAAGATAAACATCAAGAAATCCTGAGAAGGGAGAAGTCACGGTCTTGCGACCGAGAGATCGGGTAAGGGAGTCTGTTACGCGAGGGGAAGGTATTAGCGCCCCACACGCCCGTAGTACTCTAAGGTATCCACTCTTGTTATCTATGTTATGGGTGTGTTTAATCTATGCTTATTGTTTATTATTTCTAAGGGGAGAATGCATGCAAAAGAAGGAGAAAAGAATATAGGGAAAATACAATTGTGCTCGCTTGAGCCCTACCCCAATGCCTACGTATCTGTTTTGAGGAATCAGAGCTACCGTAGTTCGGCTCATATGTTTTTGCTTGTTTGTGTTTTTTTTATGGACGAAGTTAATTCCGCCTTCTGCCGCAGCTCGACCTTTGGAGACTTATGCGTTGGCACAGAAGTAAATTAATCGTGTCCTTACTTGAAAAGGTTTTTTTTAGAAAAGTGCTCGAGCGCACAAATGGTTTGATTTGATTTGTATTTTCGTTGCAGATAGCGACTAGTCGACCTCAAGAGAGAGATATTAGCCACTTTTCTACTTAGCTATGAAAGGGGTCTTTAAGAATTGAACCACATCTAGGCTTGAGATGAAGAACAATAAGATCGAGAAGAGACCCGCTTATCATTTCCCATACTAAGAAAAGGCATGATTCTCATCAATAGTTTTAAAGTGTTTTGGATTTTGAAAAGAAAAAGAAGTTTTTGTTTTAAATGCGTATGTGAAAGGAGAAAGAAAAGTCAAATGGGGACTAGCCTATTTCTAAACCGAATGTTATCGTGCGTTGTTAGACCTAAAGTTAGAATTTTGAGGGAATTCTACCTAATGTTAGCATGCATATGGTTTGCGATAAAGTACGGAAACAAAGAATAAAATAGAGTTGTGACGATACCGAACGGAGGAGGTACGTTGCCTCTTCGAAACTGTGCAAGCGATAAGAAAATCCTACCAAAGTTTCCTTGAACGAGTGATTGAAGAATTATCCTCGAGCATTCCACATTGCAAGAGTTACATCGATATCCAAACAAAACCTTAACTAAAAATGACAATGAAAATGATTAATAAACATGGAAATAATTAAAATTCTAATAAAATTCTAAAGAGAATCTAAAAATATTTCCTAAAACATTCTACTATTTTTGTATCATTTTTATTATCAATTAAGAGGAAAAAATTAAACTAGAAGAAAAAACTAAAATATTAATGAGATTAGAAAAGTCAGGGGGTGCAAGATGAATTTAGGGGTGTATGGTTTAGTAAGGGCGCTAGGCCCATCCATAATGAAGTCCAATGAGCTTTTTTGACAAGGCTCCAAGCTCCAAAAAGAAAGCGCAGTAGGCCCAAAGGGAAGCAAGGGTTTCAGTCCAACATCATTATATTGACTCATATATTTTTTCTATTATTTTTACCCATTTGAATTAAAAATTAAAACATATAAAAAGAAAGTAAAAAAAGAAACTGAAGGAAATTGTGAGAAAGTTAGGGTTCTGATAACACTCTCTTCTCTTGCGGCGCCGCTAGCCCCCTCGGATATTACTTCTCCGTCTCAGATCCAAACGGCTCTCCGATGTTCATCACGAAATAATTTCCTTCTGCCCATCTTCCTGACGTCTCATTGCTTCGTTACGGTGCACGCATCCCTTCCTCTCTTATCTTCTTCGTGTAACCGACAAAGATGTCTCCTCCGCCGATTTTCCAATGTCGCAACCGTTCATCATCTCGACATTCTGCCTTATTCGTTCGTATTGTAACTCCAAAGCTATGCTCAAAACCCGGACGAAAATTTAGACAGAAGAATGAAGATAAGCTTACCGACCGAAGCAGCGTTAGCGGTTCTTCTAACCAGAGCAAATGGTGAGAAATCCAGTGTGTTCTAGGTACGCGATTTCCTTATTTCCTCGATTCTACTTCTCTCCATCTTTGCTTTTATGTGTTGATGTTAGTTTTCTGTGATTATGCAATTTACCAACATTGTTGTTGTTGAACTGATGCCAAGTATTGCAGATTTGAAGCCGTTTCAAGATGAATTATTGATACCGTTGATGAAGGTTGAAGTTGCGAATTGTTGATGAATATTTGATTGTTGGAAGTTGCAGATTAGTGTAGATGCAATTAAGAGTCCCTCCAAAGTTGATGCTAATACAAAGAATAGCTGAAGATTAGAGAGAGTGAAGCATATGAAGATTGTTGAAGCTTTCAAAGATGGTGAATGAATAGATTTCTTGTTTCAGATTTTCTGTTTTGGTGTTTCTTCTCAAGTGTGTCAAGAATGAACGTGATGGTGATGTAGCTTTTCGCGAACTGATTCAGAGAATTGAAGTAATTAAAAATGGAGTTGCAGAGAGAAGAATGAGAGTTTTCTTGTGATTCTGCAGAATGATGAGGATTTGGTTATGGAAGATAAATATTATGCAGAGAGTAGAACCTTTTTCTGGTGAGTTTTTTTCTCTCTCTTTTTTCTGGTTATCTGTTATGGTTGGTTTGGTTGTAAATATGCTATGGGTTGGTTATGGAGAGGTTTGTTAGGTAGTTAGAAAATGATTGGGGTTTGGATCTGTTGGTGGTTTATTATTGTGCAGGGCTGCTTTAGAGAATGGTTAGGGAATGTTTATAAAATTCTGTTAGAAGTCTGTTGCATCAGTTATGAATCTGGTTATAACAGTTAGTTTTGTTAGAAGTTTGTTTTTTCTGTTTGGCTTTCTATTTGGAATGTTGGTTATAGTTAGTTATGCGATGAGGTTTGTTAGTTGTTATGGTTTGTTTGGTAATTGGTTAGGATTGGTTAGAAGTTAGTTATGGAAAATTCTGTTATAGGAAGCTGGTTAGGAAATTGGGTATAGGTTGGTTACAGTTACAGCAGTTAGGAAATGGTTAGGTTGTTTGACAGTTACAACAATTAGGAAATGGTTTTGTTTGTTGGTATTGAATTCTGTTTTGGTTTGTTGGGAATTCTATTACCGGTTATGGAGTTTCTGTTATAGGCTTTTTCATTCTGCTAGCAGTTTTGTTGAGAATTGATAATAACTGTTTCTTTTTGTTGTGTAAATGTTCAGGATTGCTTTGGATTGAAACAAAAGGCATAGATCATGGCAAGTTACAATACACCGGTTTGGTCATGAAGAAGGTAATGGAGATGGAAGCAAACTAAGGTTGCATTTCAAACACGACAAGGCCACACAAAAAGCGATGATGAGAATCAATATATGCACCTTTAAGTGTATTTCTCATTTTTGTAGTATATTTTTGGATATTGTAAATGGTGTTGGGTATTTGTAATGTATGATTGAATGTAACATAAAATATGAATTCTTTTGCTTTGTAAAGAAGTTTGCTTCCACTTTCATGATGAATATTCTAAAAAAATGGCTTTGAACCCTCTTTTAATACTTGGTGGAAATTTGAATGAAACTTGAATGTTCTTGAATGCAATATTAATTTGGCAATTCCAAATCTTCAATCTCTTATCCAAAATCAAGTTCTCTTCAAATAGAACTAAGAGCTCCCAATGCTTCTCTTCATTCGCAACTTGAATGAAACATATGATATTAAACCCTTTTTTTATGGATGACTCAAGAGATAAACTCAAAGATGACTAAAGAAAGACTTTTATTTGAAATCCAAAATCTTGATCATGGATGAACATGGTGTGCTTTCTTCTTCGAAGTGACTTGAATTTCAAGGAATCCATGTGGATGGACTTTCCAAACTCAATACGCTTTGCCTCTTAAAATATTGGTCCAATTTAACAAATTCGAACCACTTGTACTCATGACCCCAAATAATCACTTGAACGGATACTTTCACCATAATGAAAACAAGAAATGAGAGAACCAATAATTCCTTAATCTTAGTGAATTCGTAACATCATCCTAGCATTACGTCTTTACTTGATGATCGACAAAATTAATGCTTTGAATCCCTAATTCTCTGGCATTGGATACTCAATGAGGAAAAAGATAGCTTAAGCCAAAATCCCGGTTCAAAATAACCTCAACTACAACCTTGATGAGACACCAAATACCATAAGTAAAAAACCCAATGTACTTTTCTCTGAATGAATTCTTGATGGAGGATGACCTTGTAGCTTGATGAAGAAAAGATCCACAACATCCATGAACACAAAATCCTAATTCTGCAATTTCACTGCCTTGAAAAATAACCAGAAGAATCAGGCTCTATTTGAACATATACACCTTAGCCAGTTGATAAAACCCTAATCCTGAAGGTTCTCGACCCCTTGCGAAGTTATGTTGTTAGCAAATGTATGCAATGTTAAATGACCTAATGGAAATATGTACATGAGAAAAGTGCGACAATGCGTAAACAAGATAAAAGTAAGAGGGTAGGACAAATTTGGGGTATTACAGCTACCCCTATTTAATCGTCTCAAACCTGAAAGTACGATTGGCGCGTGCCTTTTGGAAGTTCAAGGTTGAAGATGATTAAATATCAATGCCAATAATTTGTCCCGGGAGGAAGAGTAAGTGTTTACTTTATTTATTTTTTTGTGATATTTGCTGGGGAAAAGAAATTTGTTTTTTTAATGAAGAGACAGAGATTGGACTTGTAACGTGGAGCGATGCCAATACAAGACAAATGGTTGGTATGAAAAGACAACGGACGAGGTATACGGGCGACCTACGATCCTAAGGTGACACATGAGAGTGATTTGACAGAGGACATAGCCAAAGGGCGATTTCAGGTTCTAAGGAAAAGTATATGGAAAGAACCTAGCCAAGAGGCAATCTCAGGTTCGACGATGATTTGAAGGAAGAACCTAGCCAAGAGGCAATCTCAGGTTCGACGGCAACGATATTGGGAAGAACCTAGCCAAGAGGCGATCTCAGGTTCTAAGAAGGTGATCTATGGAGGAACCTAGCCTACGGGCGATCTCAGTTTCGACGACGATCTAAGGGAAGAACCTAGCCTACAGGCGATCATAGGTTCTAAGATGATCTAAGGAAGAACCCAGCCTACGGGCGATCTCAGGTTCGACGGTGATCTATGGGAAGAACCTAGCCAAGAGGCGATCTCAGGTTCGAAGATGATCTAAAGAAGAACCTAGCCTACGGGCGATCTTAGGTTCTAAGAAGGTCTAAAGAAGAACCTAGCCTACGGGAGATCTCAGGTTCTAAGAAGGTAATCTAAGGAGGAACCTAGCCAAGAGGCAATCTCAGGTTCGACGGTGATTTGAGGGAAGAACCTAGCCAAGAGGCAATCTCAGGTTCTAAGATGATCTAAGGAAGAACCTAGCCTACGGGCGATCTCAGGTTCTAAGATGATCTAAGGAAGAATCTAGCCTACGGGCGATCTCAGGTTCTGAGATGATCTAAGGAAGAACCTAGCCTACGGGCGATCTCAGGTTCTAAGATGATCTGAGGAAGAACCTAGCCTACGGGCGATCTCAGGTTCTAAGATGATCTAAGGAAGAACCTAGCCTACGGGCGATCTCAAGTTCTAAGATGATCTAAGGAAGAACCTAGCATACGGGAGATCTCAAGTTCTAAGATGATATAAGGGAAGAACCTAGCCTACGGGCGATCTCAGGTTCTAAGATGATCTGAGGAAGAACCTAGCCTACGGGCGATCTCAGGTTCTAAGATGATCTGAGGAAGAACCTAGCCTACGGGCGATCTCATGTTCGACGATAAACTAAAGAAGAACCTAGCCTACGGGCGATCTCAGGTTCAAAGATGAAACATGGATTACGACATGATGATTATTTAGATAAGTGACATGGACGAGCATCAAGAAAGGTTAAACATGGACGAGTGTTTGAATCAATACGGACGAGTATTGAAGGAAGATACGAACAAGTATCAAAGGTTAAACACGGACGAGTGTTTGAATCAATACAGATGAGTATTGAAAGAAGATACGGGCGAGTATCAAAGTTTAAACACGGACGAGTGTTTGATTCAATACGGACGAGTATTGAAAGAAGATACAGGAGAGTATCAAAGGGTTTAAACACGTACGAGTGTTTGAATCAATACGGACGAGTATTGAAAGAAGATACAGGCGAGTATCAAAAATTTTAAACACGGACGAGTGTTTGAATCAATACGGACGAGTATTGAAAGAAGATATAGGCGAGTATCAAAAGGTTAAACACGGACGAGTGTTTGAATCAATACAGACGAGTATTGAAAGGAGATACAGACGAGTATCAAAGGGTAAACACGGACGAGTGTTTGATTCAATACGGACGAGTATTGAAAGAAGATACAGACGAGTATCAAAGGTTAAACACGGATGAGTGTTTGGTTCAATACGGACGAGTATTGAAAGAAGATACAGGCGAGTATCAAAAGTTAAACACAGACGAGTGTTTGAATCAATACGGACGAGTATTGAAAGAAGATACCGACGAGTATCAAAAGTTTTAAACACGGACGAGTGTTCGGGAGAGTGACATGGATGAGTGTTTAGGAACTAACACGGACGAGTGTTTAGGAATCTGACTACCAGACAAGAACTGGGTTTAGAACGGCAAATTGTATTGATTTTGTTTGGCATTGAAAAGGTGAAGGTCACCGACTGGGGACTTTGGGCATGATACCCTTATGTAGGGATGTACTGTTGTCCCTGAATGATTCAGATATTTGTGTAAGGTACCTGATCTGGCTTATGCTTTGTATGCATGTTTGAGTTTCTTTTGACGCAAAGATCCATTCTGGTGCATTAGCTACGCGCTTTTGAGGATGCAATGTTATGTAATGATAACTATATGCAATGCGAAGAAATAAAC